TAGTGGCGTTATATATACTTTGGTAACTTTTTTTTTTACACTTATTTGAATATTTTTAGTAAAAATTAACAATATTTTGGTTCCGCACTCCTAGGACATGGACGTATTTTTTTCACCTTTATTTTATTCTTACCTCCTCAATAAAATTTGAAGTAATTAAACAATCCGAGCTATTAACAAATACCAATAACAAAAAAAAAAAAAAAAACAAAGATGTCTTATAAGGCCTTTTTAATGAAATTGGGACGACAAATTATGTCTATCGTTAGCTGATTTTTTTGAAAAAATTTAAGTTATTTTTCTAACAACACAAAAACTATTTACTTAGTTAGATCCACTAAATTTTAATTAGATTCATACATGAAGAAAGGTAGATAACCCTTTCCTAACGGTATATTTTAAATATTTTGGTGTGGATAATACTTGAAGTCTTTTGAAAAGATACATGTTTTTCTCCACTTTTATAGTTTAAGATAATATTGTACATGAAAAATCTGCTTGAGTGATTGTAAATGGAGATGAATAAATACATTATCTCTCACGATTATTATAAACTTGGAGAAGATTGCTCTCCGTTAGGGTGTGCACGTTGGCACAAATTTCATAGCTGGAAGAAACATTATCCCTAAATTATATAACAGCAAAAGCATTTTCAATACTAGACTTATTCCTAGGAAGACACTTAAAAATAAACAACATCGTAGATATTGCAGTATATTACTATCCACCTATATTTTAAAAATAAAATAAAATCCACTTGACAGTAAACAAAACTTTTGGTCCATTCATAAAAGAAAACTACTCACGCAATTTATTGACTTGGTGCAATTTTGCGAAGTCACCGTTCCAATTTTTATTAGAAGTTCTATATTGACTTAATTCGGCTTTTCGTTAATTTCCAAAGGACACCATTTCTTCTTATGAATCATAAAATAAAATAAAAATGGAAAATAAGAAGCATTTTCTAGTCCTCAGAGTCCGTACACTCGGCCCTTCTCCCAAATGTGAAACAAAGAACTCAGAAAGCAGTCTGCAACATACCTACTTAGATTTTTACTTTCTTTTCAGCTCCTATCAATTACATTTTTTCTACTATAGATTCTCTGGTTCAATTTTATGCAAAAATAACCCCTTTATCATTCTTTTCTTCAGATGCATTCTTGTACAAAGTCATTGATGACAGCTAACTAACATTGAAAAGTTTGTGAGAGTAAATAAGCTATTTGGTAATTTTTCAAGATTGTTTTAGAGGACTTCCTAAAATGTCTGAACCTTGTTGAGAGCTAAGAACGTAGATATTTTTTCGAAAGAGGCTAAAGGTGTTCGCTTGGTATGATTTTCTTTGTTGGGTTTATCAAGATTGTTTGAAAGACATCGTAAAATGTCTGAACCAGCAAAGGTTCGTTTGGTTCGTTGCCCAAAGTGTGAAAATTTACTTCCTGAGCTCACTGATTATTCTGTTTACCAGTGTGGTGGTTGTGGTGCTGTTTTACGAGGTACACTTCCTTTCTTTGCATTCTTTGTTGTTTTCTGCTTAGGTAATTTCCTAGAAGAAAGGGTAAAAAACAATTCTTGAATTTGGACTTGTTCTTCAAGTTCTGTGCTTTGCATTATCTTTGACTGGTCCCCCCTTTTGTATATGGTCAGATTGATTTGTTTGAACCTGTGGATTTTTCTGGGACTTGCTATAGTCGAAGTCTTCTAAGATTGTCTTTTTTCTTTTCCTTTCCTTTTAAAGTTACAGCCAAAAATAAAAATGGGGAGTTAGAGGAATTTGCTGGGAAGTCTGAAGAAGAAACTGTGGGAGGAATTGTGGAGAATTTTGATCTTTCAGGGAAGAAACTTATGAATATAGGTGAGGGTTCGGGGTATGATGTCAAGTCAAATACTAGTTCTTCCAGCACAAGGGAGAGGAGGAGGGTTTTGTGCGATGCGCCTGAAACTTACGAGACCAGTTTTAGGAATGTTGCTGGTGATTGGGCTAATGAGGATGAGAGGGTGATGTATAAGACTAACATTGATGAACAAGGTCAAGAAAATATGGTCAATGAGTTTGCTTTTGACTCCCGGAATGGAAAAGAAATTGAAACTCGAAGACCAGGCCGAGTTCCAAATTGGAGAATTAGGGAGAGAAGTGAGGCTGAGGTTTTGCCCAGGGTTAGAAGAGTTAATCTTCAAGGTATGAGGAATTCATCCTCCATTAACTCAGAAGAGGGTCCGTCGGGCTACTGTTCAGGCTCAAATTATGATACTGATAACAGGTTGTACAGGAACGATGTGGATGGGATCGATCAGGATGAACAAATTCAAGAAAATATAGCTAAAGAATTTGATCTTTTTGACTCCCAGCATGGAAAAGAAGTTGAAATCCGAAGAGCAGGCCGCGTTCCAGATTGGAGAAGTAAGGAGAATTCTGAGGCAGAGGTGTTGCCCAGGGCTAGAAGAGTTGATCTTGAAGGTATGAGGTATGCGTCCTCCATTAACTCAGAAGAGGGTCCTTCTGGCTACTGGTCAGGTTCAAATTATGATAATGATAAGAGGTTGTATAGGAAGGATGTGGATGGGTTCAATCAGGTTGATCGTCCCGTTGATGAGCGCGCAGAGCTTTTGAGAAAGTTTGATGAGCTAAAAGAACAGCTCAATCGGTTTGGTGATGTGCCTGAGAAGCCTAACGAAAGAGTCCCACTTGAAAGGAGGATGGCTCATCATGGAAATCCCTATGATCTGTTTCCTCAAAGCTCTACAAGGATCATGAATAGAGCTTCGGCACAAAATCCTGTATCTGGTGAAAGACCTCCCTATCTGAACCACTACAATGCGCCCTCGCCTTTTATGAATACAGCTGGTGGTGGATTTTATCCTCCTAGAGACCATATCCAGGGATATGGAGGTCCTCCCAGGTCCCAGTTGTTTAGTGGAGATCCATACCAAACCCCGGATCCATTTCAATTGCAGCCATCTCATGGCCATTTTCCTGGGCGCTCAATGGACAATGAAATCCCACCTACGGATCCTTTTCGACCTTACCAGCCTCAGACTAATCCTCATCATTCATCTTGCAGTTGTTTTCATTGCTGCAATGTAAATCAAATCCGTAGTCGAGGTCCACCCACTGGTTTTGGTGATAAAAGGTTCTCTGACATTCCCCAGAAACCAATGTTCTACCGTCATCAAAATAGTGGTGCATTTGGTAAGCAAGATTATAATCCTCGAAATGCCAATTCTCTTCCATCAAAGCCGCAAAATTCTCTATCACAAATGACTCATTCTGGTGATATGAACTCTGCAGCGGGTGGTTATGCTCGTCAACATCCTCCCAGGGTGCAGCCTAGTGGACAACAATGCCGCCCTGTGGCTGGCGGAGCCCCATTTTTGACGTGCTACAATTGTTTTGAGTTGCTGCAATTGCCTAAGGAAGTTTTTCGTGGAGGTAAAAGGCGAAAAATGAAATGTGGGGCATGTTCTACAGTTATGGTTATTGCAGTTTTAGACAATAGACTTGCTATTTCTATTGAAGAACGAGTGGATAAAAGCACTGACAAGATGGATCATCAGCATAGAGTCATGTTGAATGAAGGGAATCCATACTCCAATGCACATACAAACCGTCCTAGCATGACCTTCTCTTCTGAAGATTACGATACTTCTAGATATGATTTCCATGCAATGGATCAAGAACTCAGGTCACTGTCAACAGGCCGTGGAAGTTCCATTAAATCTGCCGAGATGAGAAGCCTTGGTTCTACATCTTCCCGGAGTTCAAGGGAAGAGGACAACCTCATTAATGCTGCTGCAACAATGGAAAAGTCTGACTCTGTGCTGCCAATGAAGGGTAAAGAATCTCCACCACCAGCTGGTTCACCACTGCAAGAATACTTTGAGTATTCTAACAAATTTCATGTAGCCAACCGCCTGGATCATGGAAACAGAAGTGTGCGCTCTGATGCAGAGAAGCTGATGCAGAAAAAGACTACTTTACAGCAAAACTCCGCTAAAGATACAGCTGTAGCAACTGAGATGGACATACCATCCAATGAGTATGGTAACACCGGTTCGTCTTTAGAGTCCGGTGGATCTAGTAAAGAAGGAGACCAACTGAAAGCTACTAAAGAATCATTTTTCTCTGGCATCATAAAGAAGAGCTTTAAAGAATTCAGCCGATCCGATCATTCCGCGGAGGAGGAAAAAGCCAATACTACAGTTAACGGGCATCTTATACCAGATCGGTTGATTAAAAAGGCAGAAAAGCGTGCTGGACGGATACAACCTGGACATTACTGGTAAGTATTGGGACATTCAATCATTTTAACCTGTTCATTCTTTGAGTTTAAACTTGATATCTTTTACTCTTTGACTTTTATCTTGTTGCTATTGTGTATCGTAGGAGGCCAAAAATAGAATAAGTGACTATTTTATATATTTGTTTGTTTATTTGTTTTATATTTTTGGTGCGGGTGTAAAATAAAGCTCTATATAATTCTTGTTTGCCAGGTGAAATATTCACACGAGATTAAGCTTTTCCTATTTAATCTATTAACTTTATAGAATTTCATTAACGGATTTGCGACATAAAATCCACCAATAAGTATGGTCATACAGAAGTTGCAAGGTTACAATGGGCAAGTGTGGAACCTCTTGGAAGCAATATTCCGACATGGATATAGCACTGTTGTTTACTGATATACTGAAAAAAAGATTATAAAAATCTGGGAAAGAACTCTAATGCAGCGTTGATCATTTTTAAGTGTACATGATTGGTAGTTTTAGTTATATTTGAATTTGTCAGATGGTTCCTTTTTTGATGGTTCAATCCTGTCTACTGGTCCACATGTATTCAGCTGCAACAATTTGCTTTACCTGGTCCTGTACCACATTTTTATTTGTCCTTAAATCACTTTATAAGTATATTGCTTTCTTGCCTTAATTTCCTATGCCAGGTATGACTTTCGAGCTGGATTCTGGGGAGTAACTGGTGGTCCTTGTCTGGGCATTATCCCTGTAAGATTTACTGTTACCATTAGATACTTGTAGCCTAATTCTCCTGCTTTTTGTTATGCTTTCCCATACTATAACTATTCTTCTTGCAGCCATTCATTGAAGAATTCAATTATCCCATGCCTGAGAAATGTGCTGGTGGAAATACTGGAGTATTTGTGAACGGGAGAGAGCTTCACCCAAAGGATCTGAAATTACTTTCGAGTAGAGGTCTCCCAGCCGAGAGAGACAGATCTTATATTATTGAAATTTCTGGCAGAGTCCTTGATGAGGACTCTGGTGAAGAGTTGGAGAGCCTGGGCAAACTTGCTCCGACGTGAGTATCAATTCTATGATGGCTTTAGTTTTTCAATAATTCTTTCTCTTGATCAATTAAATATGCTCATGTTGCTCTTTCAGTTGGTCGGATGACCCCTACCCTACTTTGTGTTAGCTATCATACACTGAATTCATTGGCAACACAAATATGCTCAGTCACCTCCTTCCATTCACCCTACAGTTGGGGTGGATGATTAAGATAAATGAGCAGAAACACTCTTTTATTCTAGACCTATAACAACTTCCTGATACACTGCTGGCTTAAAATACAACTATTATCACTTGTAATCTGTCTTTGCTCCTTATTCTTGCTTCGGCCTTTCATACTTGATGAATGAGGCTTTTGCAAGCAATCAAAGCTTAGCAGTTTATCCTTTACTGTCATAGCACATGCTTAGGTCTTTTCCGTGAAATGGTTAAACTTTTCCTGACATTCAAAAGATAGGCCGACTCACCGGCCATTCTTGGTCATTGTGGTCGATAGATTTCTCTTCATGCCACTAGGTCAAGAGTTCGAGGCTGGTAGGTTGCCAAACAAAAAAAAAAAGGATAGGTTTCTGTTATTTCGGAGTTTCACTAGTGCCATAGAAAATGATTTGAAATTAGCATGAAGCTTGGATGTTCTTTTTCTAATACCGCTTCCCTAATGTCACTAAGCCCTTGAGTATTGCCAGTTTTACTCATGCTGTTTCCATTTTCAAAGAGCAGTGCACGCATATTGTTATGATGTTAGCCGTTTCTCATAATCATAAAACATTTTGAATTATAATTTGATTTCACGTTATGCTGACTAAATACTTCATTTTCAGTGTTGAGAAAGCAAAGCATGGCTTCGGCATGAGACTTCCAAAGGTAGCAGCATAACTATCAGGAAAAAGAGTTTGGCCTTATTAGGTTGCTTACAGTATAGAGAGCTGTAGTGCCTGGCAGGAGAATGTTAGTTATTGCAAATGAGACATGTAAAATGGAACTAGATGAGTTTTATTTTGTCTTGTGCCCAGTAAAAATGTGTCCTACAGATTCTATATACTACTTTTTTTCTCTGTCAATGTTTGTATATTCATCAAAAAGTAGCAGCTGTGTGCCCTTCTAGAGTAGTTAAGAGAGTTTGCCTGGTTATCGAATCACGGCTATTGTTGTGGAAATATTGTGCCAACTCCTTTGCGTTGTTAGCTTTCTAGCTTTTAGTGCAGAATGTTTTTCTAATTTGTATTTCTGTTTAAATTACAGCAAGGTATTTATACCAAATTCTTTCGAGCAATATTTGTACAAAATTCATTTTTACTATTTCTTCTACTGTATGTATCCTCCATTGCCTCTGTGTTTATTGAAGGGTAGTTTGACAATGTTGGAGTCAAGTAGGACAAGTAATATTCTCACATATAAAATGATGAAAGAATGAATATATTTATATGTCTTAGCTAAAGATCATTCGGCAGTACGAAATTCAATTTCCATATGATATGATGATATTTAGTCCTTTTCTAAAGTTTAGCACCCTATTCAAAATCAAAATTCAATTGCCATATAGTATACGTTTTGATGTGCATATAGGCAAGATATGTAAATTGTATTAGTAGGCAAACATAATTATTACAGTATGTATATTCGGAAAAGATCATTGTTAGGCCTAGTGGCTTTCAAATGGGTTGGCGAGCTCCATTTCGCTAAACCAAAGTTCCAGCCAGTTATAACTAACTAACAACTCTCATAAGGTCACCAATGAAATCACTGTTAGACTGCGCCAAGTTTCAAACCCATATTATCAAATCCGGTCTAACCGCACGAATCATTGACGCCAACCACCTTATTCATATATATTCTAAGCATTCTCTTATTCAACATGTCCAAAAATTGTTCGATGAAATGCCTGAAAGAAACGTTTTCACTTGGAATGCTATTATAAACACTTACGTTAAAGCTCGAAAATTTGCTCAAGCGAGAACACTTTTTTATGCTGCTCCCCAAAAGGATTATGTCACGTACAACACAATGCTGTCTGGTTATGTCAATTGTGAAGGATTTCAGGATCAAGCAGTTCGATTATTTGCCGAAATGCAATGCGTTGAGAAAGTATCTGAATATGCCTTGACTACCATGCTTGGTTTAGTAACAAAGTTGAGTATTTTGTCATATGGTAGGCAATTGCATTCATATATGTTAAAGAGCGGGAATAGTTTAAGTAGGTATGCACTGAGTTCTTTGATTGTTATGTATTCGAAATGCGGGTGCTTCAGAGATGCTTGGAGGGTCTTTGATGGATCTGATGTTGGGGCTGTTGACACGGTTTCCAAGAATGCAATGGTGGCAGCTTGTTTTAGAGAAGGTGAGTTGGAAATGGCCAGGGATGTTTTTTCGAGTAGGCCGCAGTTAAATGATGAAGTTTCTTGGAACACAATGATTTCGGGTTTTGCCCAAAATGGGTATGAAGAGGAGGCCATCCAGTTGTTCAGGTGCATGATGGAGGAGGGATTCGTATGGAACGAACACAGTTTTTCTAGTGTTATAAGTGCTTGTTCTGGCGTGAAGAATTTAAAACTTGGAAAGGAGATTCATGCTTGGATTTTGAAGGAAGGGATGAGTTTGAATCCATTTCTTAGCTGTAGTTTCGTTAATCTTTATTGCAAGTGTGGTCTCTTGAATTATGCATCATCTGTTTGTGCAACTACTCAGAAAGAGAACCCGTTTTCCATCACACCGTTAATTGTAGAATATTCAGGAATGGGTAATATGTTAGAAGCAAGAAGGCTTTTTGACTCATTGCCTGGTAAGAATCATGTTGTATGGACTACTATGATATCTGGATACGTGAAAGCACATCAATGTGAAGATGCTTTTCAGCTTTTCAGAGAGTTAATGACACAGGAAACAGCCGTTCCTGATGAACTGATTTTTATAAACCTGCTTGGTGCATGTTCCATACATGCGACCTTCAATTACGGGCAGCAAATACATGCCTGTATACTGAGAACTGGCACTGCAATGGATGCTAAGTTGGTAAATTCATTGGTTGATATGTACTCAAAATGTGGAAATGTAACATATGCACAGAGGGTTTTTCAGTTGGCTGTTGATAGAGATTCTATCCTTTACAATAGTATGATAGCTGGTTATGCTCTCCATGGGTATGAAAATGAAGCTATTCAGCTTTTCAGTCAGATGACAGAGCGAGGTTTCCAACCTGATGAAGTCACTTTCCTTGCCCTTCTATCAGTTTGCCGGCATCGTGGATTAGTGAAAATGGGAGAACAGTATTTCTTTTCCATGACCAAAGATTACAATATATCACCTGGAACTGATCACTATGCAAGTATGATAGACTTGTATGGAAGGGCAAATCAACTTGAGAAGGCAGTAAGCTTAATGGAAAAGTTGCCTATAGAACCAGATGCTGTAATTCTGGGTGCATTTCTAAATGCTTGCAAAATGAACAGAAATGTTGAACTTGCAAAAGCTGCAGAGAATAAGCTATTACAAATCGAAGGAAGGAATGGTTCTAGATATACGCAGTTGGCTGGGATCTATGCCTCGGAGGGGAAATGGAATGAGATGGGAAGGGTAATGAAAATGATGAGAGGAAGAGAGGCCAAGAAAACTGCTGGTTGCAGTTGGGTATATGTAGGAGACACAGTTCATACCTTTATCTCTGGTGACAGATCTCACTCGGACAATGATGCTATATATATTATTTTAGGATATCTGATCAAAGAATTAACTAAACTATCAGCTACTATATTTTTCGAAGAAGAGCTATGCACGTTCTGTTGAGTAATGTCGACTTGCAAATGCTTATCTTCAAATTCAAGAAGCTCTATGGTGGCATTTTGAAGCGGTAAATATCATTTCAGGTAAATATGTGAAGTGTAAAATACATGTCGCATAGATTATCATGCTACTATGGATAAAAATTAATTTCAGCACTTAAATCATTGGGTTCTTAAGACAAACATTGGATAAAAGCATTGACAAGATGGATCATCAACATAGAGTCCTGTTGGATGAAGAGAATCATACTCCAATGGACATGCAAACCGTCTTAGCATGACCATTTCCTCTGATGTCTTTTACTCTTTGACATTTATCTTGTTGCTGATGTATGTAGGAGGCCAAAAATAGCACAAGTGACTATTTTTATATATCTGTTTGTTTATTTGTATATTTTGGATTTTGGACATTACTAGAGCTGTAGTTCCTGGCAGGTGATTATTCCGAATGAGACGTGTAAAATGGAACTAGATGATTTTTATTGTCTTGCGCCAGTGAGAAATGAATCTTACAGATTCTATATGCTACCTTTTTCTGTGTAAATTCACCAAAAGGTAGCAGCTGTGTTCACTTCTGGAGAAGTAAAGAAAGTTTGCCTGGGTATTGAATCATGGCTATTATGGTGGGGAGATTTTGCTCCTTTGCAATGTTAGTTTTCTAGCTTTTAGTTCACAATGTTTCTCTAGTTTGTATTTCTACTTAAATTACAGCAATATGTTTATACCAAATTCTCCTGAGCAATATTTGTGTAAAATTCATTTATACTAATAATTCTTTTACTATATCCTCTACCACGTTAGGTTACTTGACCAATGTTGGAGCCAATCAAGACAAACGTTAAGTCGATATTTAGAAAATAATATTATAATGGGAAATAGCGGTTTTAGTCCTTGGATTATTGCCTAATACCGATTTTCGTCCTTATGTTAGTGGGACTATGAACATACCTTCAATAAAATAAAGTGCGTAATTTTTGTCCTTAAATTAAACCTGACTTGTAGTTGACACCGTTAGTTTTACATTCTTTTCTTAATTGCCACATCTCTGTGGGAACTAACGTTTGTACTTATTTGTGTATTTGCATAATATAGCGAAACAAAACAAGCAAGAAAGCAAGGAATTTGTGCACTTGAAAGTTGAAACGCTAATCAGTACCAGTAAAATGTCTTCTCTGTCACAACAAGTGCAATTGTTAGTTCCCAGGAGAAGTTTCTAAGTATCTAAAGCCAAGAGCGTTAATTGAAAGTTAGATTTAAGGATTAAAATTACACACTTTATTTAATTAAAGGTTAAATATGCTTAGTTCATTAACACAAGAACCAACATCAGAATTAGGCAGTAACATTTTATTTATTTTTTTGAGTTTAAAATGATGAAAGAATATATTTACAAGTCTTAACTAATGATCATTCGGTAGTACGAAATTCAATTATGAGGATCATGAGCGACAAGTGGGGTACCACACCCCAGAACAAAATTCAATTGCCATATAGTGCATATTTCGCACTGGATACTTAAAACTGTAGTAGACATAACAATTATTCGTCTCTTCGCAAAAGATTATTGGTCGTGGTCTTCCACCACCTCCATTGCCCTGAACCTTCCTGATTCCACTTCCTTTTATTTTCTCTCCCTTTATCCTACTGTAAGGATCCATGCCCACTATTTGGTAGTTTAGTTTTTCAGTCCGTGATTTGGATCCACTTATTTAATTGGTACCACTTCCTTTAACTTGATACTAGTTTTAAATTTCATGAATTTGACTGTTTGACTCATGTTTTTGGGTTGTAATACATATAGTGCTGCCTTTCTCTTCTGCCCGGAATTATAAAAAATAACTTCAGACTTGGGCATCTCAAGTGAAGTTTCTACTTTAGTATCTCAAGATCTTAGCCAAATATCTCAAGTTCATAACCAAATATCTGATGTTTATGTGAAAATATCTCAAGTTTATATCAAAATGACTGAAGTACATATCAAAATGCCTGAAGTTCATATCTCAACAACTAAGTTTATAACAAAAATATCTAAAATTCATAACACTGAAGTTCATAGCAATATAACTAAAGTTTTTCTTTTTATCTTTTTCTCTCCTCGTTGTATGTCATTTTTGTTTTGCTTTTCATCAAATTTAGATTTCCTTTTCTTTTCCTGTATATTTAATTCAAGGGTATATTTAATAATTTGGTTATGCCAACTCTTATTTTTGTTTTGGTTCGCTTGAGTTGCTGGTTAGCTCTTCTTTCTTGTTTTGGTTGATCTTTAGTATCAGCTATATATTCATGTTCAATTTCTTAAAGGGTATTATTGTCCAAGTATTAACCACTTATGACGGATTGGTTAAAGGTTCAATAATTTTAAAAATTGGGTATAGCTTAAACAGTGCCCTTAAAATAGGGTACTAGTGCACTTCCCCCGGATAATAAAGAAAGGGAAATTAACAGTTATGTGCATTTATAGGTAGCTCATTATAAAAATTGGCCAATTGATAAAATA